CAGCAGACAATAAAACATGTAACACTGTGTTCCCAGGCAATAATCCCATGAGAAAGGTAAAGTTTTCAAGAAAACAAACCTTGTTTAAAGCCATTAGCTTGCACACCTTTTATCATGCAGTGTGGATGCTGTTGAGGGTGCAAAGTGAGCATCCCAGCGCTCTGAGCTTTTGTCGAGGGGCTGGTGGGGAAGGAGGCGAAAACTTACTCCATTAACGTTGGTGGCCCTCACAACCTGAACACCGAGACCTGGCAGCTTGAAGCCATCGGAGGAGACGGCATTTCTCTCCCCTCTGATGCTTGCGGGCCTGTGCTCGGAGTATCCGGGCCTGTGAGATCCTGCTCTTCCTCGAGGCCTCGGCTCAACTCGGAGCCTCAGAACTCGCGGCCCCTTCCCGGCGCGCTCGTCGGTCGGGAAACCCAGCTTTCGCTCTCTGTGCTTTAACCAGTGATTAGGCATTAAAGGGAAATGGGGCTGGCTCGGGTCGGGAAGACCTAGAAGGCAGGCGGCGAAATCGGGTCTGGAAGTTGTAGAAGCAGGCGCCGTGACCCTCTCTCGGAAGGGTTACTTCTGCAAACATCAAGTATCTGGTTAGTCTCATTCAAGCCCTTTGGGTTCACTCACATCCCGCAGATAACAAACGGACGAAACATCCGCCTGGAGCTCGGGTTCGCTAGTGGCGCAAGGGGCGCCCGCCTCCAGCCTTCCGGGTGACCCTCGAACCTGTCCGGGGCGCCGCAGGTCCTTCCCGCTCAGTGCCCGCAGGTGTGCTCGTCTCCCGGAGAACTGTCCCCTTGCGGCCCGCTCCAGGCGCGGGAGGTGCGCGCTCCGCGGCCGGACTGTCTGTGCGCCTCCGCACCTGTCACCTCGCCTAGGAGAGGTGGGTGTGGTGCGGACTTCCCTAGCGACTCCCAGGCTGGAAACCCAGCCCCGGGCGGCAGCGGCCTTGCCTCTGTAGTGCAGACCTGAATTTGAGTCCCCACTCTGCTGGTGGCTCTTAAAGCAAGTGGTTCGGTTTCTCTAAGCCTCGGTTTCCTCAGTGTGGGGGATACTGTTCCCGCCGCAGAGGACACTTCCCAAGGAGCAGTGACATAATGAAGGTAAAGGACTCGGCGGAACTCCTGGTGCTCAGTAGACGTTCGAACAAATGTTAGCCATTATCTTATCACAATACATGCGCTTTTTCCACTAGGCTGCAAGCTACTGAAGGACAGAAACACCCAGCACCTGGCGCAGTGGCTGAGATTCTCAAGTTCAGGGGGAGAGGTGGGGAGTGAGAGGGAGAGCGAGGGACCACTAGGTGGAGCGGAAACCCGAGGCGGCCTGTGAGCTGACCGCAGACGGTGCGGACGGGACTGGGGCACTGCCAGGGCAGCTGAGGACAGAGGACCCGGCCCATCCTCTCTGCCCAGCCCTCTCCTGCCATCTCAGGACCCTGCGCGCGACTCGCGGTCCCCGAAGTTTCCTCAGGTTTTTTTCCCCCCTCAACGGGCGTGTTTCCATTATGTTCTCTTCCCGAGTCTATGAAAGAAAAAAAGATGTGGGCTTCAAGGACCAGACCCCAGAATCGGGGGTTTCTTCTGCTTAAGGGCCAAATGGCCTGGGAGGAGCTGACCGCATTCCCAATACCTCGAGACCACGTTAGGAGCGGTCCAGGAAAACCTGGGCGAGGATGCTAGCAATGAGAAGGCACGGCCGAGAGCTGTCCCCCAGGTGCAGCGGCCTGTGGAGAAGGAATGAGCGCGTGGCCACCCTGACCCTGGAAAGTCAGAGCTGGGAGGCTCCCATAAGCCAAACCCCCACCCTGTCCCCACGTCTTTAAGCCTAGAACGAACCCCAGAGAGACTGAAAGCAGCAGATTCCTAAAACTATTACTTCGGGGGCGAAAATACTAAAGAATGCCTCTCTGATCCGTGGCCCGGAAACTCGCGTTCCCGGGACCCTCGACAAGAGAGTACAAAGTGGGGACATGGCGCGGTCCGGCAGCAGCGCTTGCGACTCCCGAGTGGGCTTGGCCTTCGGCGCAGGAAGGGCTTCCAGCGCTCGCTGCCACTCCCTGCTGCCCACCTAGCGTTTCCTGCCGGCAGGGGGCACCCACTCTCCCACTGTACCTCCGGGGTTGATTTTCTATGAAGTGGAGGACGTCCAATGGTCGAGCACAGGCAATGCACTGGACCAGGCGAGCCCTGAATCCTGACCCCGGCCGGTGAGCAGGCTGAGAGCAAGGCTCAACAGGGCGAGGGCCGCCCACCGTCTGCTGGAGACTTGGAGCTGCTCTAGTGAGTACCCTGTGGTTTGCGCTTTGGCATCAGAGAAAGGGGGGGTACCTAACTCAAAGGAAATCGTTTCTGCTGTTGAGCCTCACTATTCATCTGTGCAATGGGAACCACGATTCCGTCCCTGACTAGCAAGAGTGGCCGCGAGACTCCCGTGGGAGGATGTTGGGAGACCCCCTCATAAAAGCGGCGACCCCCTGGTTGGCACAGGATCCAAAGCGGAAATGTCTCCGCGATGGGACTGGACTTACAAGGCCAGAGCAGAGACTCTGAGCTCCCCTCCTTCCCTCCGCCTTCTCTAGGTCCCTGCTGAGTAAAAGAATGCCCGGGCGGGGAGAGAAAACCTGAAGAAGAAAAGGGGAAGGAGGATGTCCTGACGCAGAGGAGGAAGTTTGGCGGCAGAGGCACCTCTATTCCCCCAAACTCGGTCTAAGAACCCCCTCACCTCTCTCAGATCACTGTAAAGAGGGGCATCACTATACTCTGCACTGTTTCAGCTCTTACAGTTCTGTCTCCCTGACTTTAGGCCAAAATGAGGACATCATTTGGATATTGTGGTATGGTGATCAGATAATTTGGGCAAACCCAGATTTGTTTCTGGATTATCAGAATTAAAGTCTCAAGTCTTTACTTGATTCTCCAAATGTAGTTTTAAGTTCTCTCTCCCCCCGCCACACACACATTGCCTCCGGTCCTTTCCCCCACATACACACACAACCCCTTGTTTTTCAGGTAAAGGGGAACTGAGGTCACATTTCCTTTGGGGAATCTGCCATTTTCCAGATCTCAGCTGATCTAAACTTTAGGAGGGTTCTCATAGGTAATATTAATGGAGGTTCTCACAGATAATAAAACATAACAAACGTGTGCCATCATGAAAATGTCTGAAGGTCAGTCTGAAGGGTGGAAACAAAGGAGCAAAGGCAAGACTACTCAATTGGCTCTTCTAGACGTCATTTTCGGGGGTAAAAATGTTCTATATTAGGTAAAAGCAGCTGCCACGGTGGTAACCGAAAGATTTGGGATTTGGAGTCAAGACGCAGAGAAGCAATCCTAATTAAATATCGAAAGGTTGATTGTGTAACTGGGGCCCACAAAGCAGCAGGCTGGGCGCAGCGCGGAGGCAATGCAGTCCGGTGGTGGGAAGCCCCGCCTCCCAAAACGCACCGAACCAGCTCACTCTTCCCCATCTAGGGACCCTCCTTAACCAAAAGGAAGGCTGGGAACTAAATCCAGGCAGATGTGAGAGCGGATTACCTTCCTCATTATTCCCCAGAGGGTGCACTCTGTGGATGCTGGAGTTTTAATTACACACTTGCCTTTTCTGGGGAAGAAGACCAAAGATCATATTTTTAAAGGTATCAACTTGTTTCCCATTAGGCAGTTGTTGTAACAAGTTCTTTCAACGACATGTTATGTCTTTAGGAAGAAGTGTTTCAGATGGCGCGCACTAGCACAATTTTGTGGCTTTTAATTACTATTTTGTTCTTCTGGGGGCCGTTCAGAAGCTGGCGCCTCTGCGTTATTAGACCGTCTACTAGGCCCACCGCAACCACGCGTATGTCCAGCAGGTGGCGCCACAAGGCAGGCCTGCGGCAGGAAGGGCTGATCGAGGCAAGTAAAGGCGAGCGTCCCCCTCAACTCCGGGCAATGGTTCCAAAACACCAGTAAAAGGAGATATAAAAGAAGTCGCCACTTCAGATTTAAAAGGAGAAGATATTACAATGTCACGCAGAACAGGGTCCTCAAGTGAAAAACTGTAGGGTCCTCAAGTGAAAAACTGTAAGTGCATGACAGAAGACTTCTTCTATTTGTTTCTTAAGTTTACCAGGACTTGCAGGATCGATAATACTTTCTCACGTAAGTTATTATCTAATTTTCTTGTTTGTAAAAACATCGAATTTAGAGTTGGAAGGAACTTTGAAGGTCATTTGGTCAGTTTGGCCTAGCTTTCCAGCCTAGAGAGGAAATCCCCGGGATGCTTTTCGGGTGACAACAAATATACATAATTTACTCCGTCTCAGTGTGTCAAGAAAGTACGAAGCAACATGGTTTCAAGTATATCATTAGCAATAATACCTTTTAATTTACCTTTTCTTTCAAGCAACAAGGAAAATTTGTTTAAATATTATCTAATTAATTGAGCTAATATCCTCCCTGTGGGTAGGCTGGAAGCAGGTATTATTTATACGTGGTTTATGGGTGATTTAAGTCAATTGACTATGTCAAGTGCCGAGCGGCTGACAAGAGTAACTGCCAGATACGCCACGTAAAAGCGGAGCTAGACTTGTTGGCCCGGTTCTATGCACAGCTTTATTTTGTTTAATGTTTGAAAGCTGACCTCGGACATGAATGTACAAATGACTGGAACTGGTTGGCACGTGTACATAAAATGGGATGAGGGACCCCATTTCTTCTTCCTCTGAGGTGCAAAGCCAGTCTCCTTCACATCTGCCCTGCCGCCCGCAATCCCGACTTCTTCCGCCCACGCCAGCCCCTTGCGTGGCTGCTCACGTTCAGCAGACGCCTGTCTGCACCAGCAACCACAGCGGCCCCAGCGCGAGCCCTTTGACACCCACCTCCCAGCGCAGTGTTCCTGGGCGCCCTCAGCCCCAGGGCTGGAGCTTCCAATTGGCTGTTGCTAGGTGACGTCTCCTGCGCTCACGTGACGAGTGTTATTATGCCCACCCTGCAGGAGCCCTCCCAGCAGACAGCCGTAAAGCTCCCGTGGGCTGCTCACCTGCTTACGCCTGGCCCCGCCACTCCTGCCCCTCCACGGCCCGCCCCCTGCCCGGGCCCGCGCTGGGCTAGCAGCCGAGGGCAAAGAGACGGAAAGAGGATGCAGCCGGCGGCAGCGGTTCCGAGCAGTGCGCGTTAATCGCCTCCCCCGGAGGAGGAGTTGTCTAGACCGTTGCCACATTTCTTTTCATCCCCCCGTCCCGTAATTACATTGGGTGCTGGAGGGGACAGGGAAAAACGGAGGAGGCGCCTCACTTCCCCCCTCGCTCCGGCCACTCTTGCTCTTTCCCGTCCCGGGCCAGAATGACTGGAGTCTTTGACAGTCTCGTGGCTGATATGCACTCGACCCAGATCACGGCCTCCAGCACGTACCACCAGCACCAGCAGCCCCCGAGCGGCGGCGGCGCGGGCCCCGGCGGCAGCAACCGCAGCGGCCTCCACAAGCCCCAGGAGTCGCCCACTCTCCCGGTGTCCACAGCTACCGACAGCAGCTACTACACCAACCAGCAGCACCCGGCGGGCGGCGGCGGCGGCGGCGGCTCGCCCTACGCGCACATGGGCTCCTACCAGTACCACGCCGGCGGCCTCAACGATGTCCCTTATTCTGCCAAGAGCGGCTACGACCTAGGCTACACCACCGCCTACACCTCCTACGCTCCTTACGGGACCAATCAGTCCCCGACCAACAACGAACCTGGTATGCATAGCGGTGGCGTCTAGTATGCCAAGTCGGTCTAGTTACTGGCATGGGTGGGATAAAACAGTGGGGTGGGTGGGATAAGTGTTTGGGGCAGGGATCGGTCCGGGACCCTGGCTCCTCACACTGCCTGCTCCCAGCTCGCCCTGCGCCGTTTATCCACCTCAAGCTCCAGTCTGCCTAGGGGACCGAGTACGTTCCTCGGTGCTCAGCTGGTGGGACCAGGAGGCCTCAGGGGCCTCGTACGTGCACAGTGCATGCCTCATGGGAACCTCATTTCCTTACCACCTGGCTTCTCCTTTCTCTCCAGTACAAGCCTATCTTCCCCTTCCCTGGAGCGCCTAGCTTCCGGTCAGGGGCGGCGCGGATCTCCGCGTTGCGAAGCTGAGCCTGAGCGCGGCGCAGCGTCTCCACCAAGCCGCCTCCCGGCTCAGGCCAAGTCCCGTGCAGGGCTCTCCCGGAGAGCGGGAATTTTTAGGCTGCCCTAGTTATGCTGTTCTCAAGATTCCCTTTGGTTGCAGAGAAAGAGGAACTCGAGCCTGAAATCAGGATAGTGAACGGGAAGCCAAAGAAAGTCCGGAAACCCCGCACCATCTACTCCAGTTTCCAGCTGGCGGCTCTTCAGCGGCGTTTCCAAAAGACTCAATACCTGGCACTGCCCGAGCGAGCCGAGCTGGCGGCGTCTCTGGGCCTCACCCAGACTCAGGTGAGGGCTCGCGGACTGGGGAGAAGACGAGGAGGGCTCTGGTATGGGATGGCCGGTAAGCAGGAGTGTTCAGGACAATTTTTAAAGGATTTTAAAAGTAATTTTAAGGATTCCGAGGCCCGAACCTTGGGTGGCGTAAACTTCTTCGCCCGATGCTGAAATCCCCCAGGGGACCGCCACGTGTGAGAAAACGAAAGGACGGGGGTGGGTAGAAACCCGGTACCACGTTGTCCTTCCGCGTGCTACTGATTAAGCGGGTAAAATGATTGCCTCTCCTGACCCCCTCCCCCGATGTCACCGTCGCCACAGCGCACACATAAGCTGTCTGGGACTTTTTGGAATTACCTTCCAATGGAGTGGGAACCGTCGACGAGCCTCCGAGGCTGCGGCAGGTGATCCGCTTATCTGCCCAGGGTGCTCGGTGCCCACCTTTTGCCGGTCTTTTAACGCTTCCTCCAGTCCCCTTTCCCAAGCGAGATTCCTCCACTAATGCTCGGGTCCCTTTCCCACAAAGGTCAAAATCTGGTTCCAGAACCGCCGATCCAAGTTCAAGAAGATGTGGAAAAGTGGTGAGATCCCCTCGGAGCAGCACCCCGGGGCCAGCGCCTCGCCACCGTGTGCGTCGCCGCCGGTCTCGGCGCCGGCCTCTTGGGACTTTGGCGCGCCACAGCGGATGGGCGGCGGCGGCCCGGGCAGTGGCGGCAGCGGCGCCGGCAGCTCGGGCTCCAGCCCCAGCGGCGCAGCCTCGGCCTTCCTGGGCAACTACCCGTGGTACCCCCAGGCCTCGGGTTCCACCTCACACCTGCAGGCCGCAGCGCCCCTGCTGCACCCGACGCAGACCGCGCAGCCGCACCACCACCACCACCACCACCACCACCACCACGGCGGCGGGGGCGCCCCGGTGAACGCAGGGACGATTTTCTAACGCCAGGGAGACTGCGCCAGGGACAGAGAGCAGAGACCAGTTATCCTTAGCGCTTGGCCGCAGAGCAGGAGGGTCCCTCCAAACCGACCCGCTAAAGCCACCCACCGCTCCTGGGGGTGCAGTCCTGGACGTCCTGCCCCAGGCCCTGCTCCCCCGCGCAGTCGCCGAGCGGCTGGGAACTGCAAGGCTTCCCTCGGAGGAACCCGGCAGCGGCTTGGTGAAGGCCGCAAGCCGCCGCTGCCTTTCAGACCAGAGCCCCGCCTTGGACTTGCCTCCCCTCCCCTTCCCACCCGGCGCGGCGGTCCGGCGCCATCCAGCCGCGGGCGGCGAGCTGAGTCCAGGGGAGGGTCGCCTCCCCGGCCCGCGAGACTTCCAGGATGCTCTGAGGCTCCTTTCTCCCCGCCCGCCCCCAGGCTCGGCTTCAGTCCGCTAAGGTCACTGACCTCGCGGGCCTGCCCGCCCTCCCCCACACTCCCCCAAGACCCCAGCGGCCCGTCGCTTTTTTTCTGCCCTGCGGTTTCTAGACCTTGTAGCCCCCACCCCTCCATCCCCCATTGCATCCCCCATTGCATCCCCCATTCCATCCCTCATTCCACCCCTCGCCTCGCTGTCCCGCAGGAACGCTCCCACAGCTCTCTCCTCAACCATCACCAGTGGAGTTTTTTTATTTTTATTTTTTTAAAAGTTTAGGTGCCTTTGCGGATGACCTCATTTTGATGTTGGAAAAAATGATTTTTTAATATGTGGACACAGCAAAAAACGTGTTCAAATTATCTTTTTTAAAACCTATTCAGGATTATTAGGCTGGACTTCGACATCGTTTGTAAATAAAAGTGTCTGTGCAGATTTTTCCACTAACTTATTTGTATCAAAATAGGCATCTTTTCAGAATTTTTTGTAAAGGCCCACTTGTGAAAACCGGTTTAGCAGTGACCTTAGCAGCCCCTCCATTTTATTTTTCCCCTTTGAAATTTTTCTCAAACTAAGCTACTGATTTGGATTTGTTTTATCTTATCCCAGAGTCTTTGTTCTCGAAATGAAAGGTATTTTGGGGTTATTTATTATGAAAACAACATGCCCTTAATGTTGATTTTACAATATGAAGAGATTATTTAAATAAATTATTGTTTTCATTGGATACGTGCGCACTTTCCTCGGTGTCGCGTCCGGGAAGCTAGAGCCGCTGCCCAGGCGGGGAACCTGGTCTGCCACCTGTGACATTTACATCTTTCTGAGGCTGCGAGTGCCTTGAGCTACCTCGACGCGAGGACAGGCGCTCTGGGCGCGGGGCCGTGCAGTGTGGTGGCGCTCTGTTGGCGCGTGGTTCGCCAACTTGCGGCTCTGAGTCACTCAGCGCCCTTCGGCTCCAGTCCCGGCCCGCCGGGCCCCTCCGGCGCCGGCGCCCCCTCCCCACACCTGGGCAATCTCTGCAGCCCCCGCCCCCGCGGTGCCGGCTAGGCAGGGCTTCCGAGCCGCCGCGGGGAACCTGCAGTCGGAGCCTGAGCGCTTCCGAAGCCGGGGTCAGAGCCCTACGTGGAACCTCCCCTTGGTTTGCCCTGCAGCAGTTCTGGAGCTGACTGAGCCGAGAACTCAATGAATCACCCAGGCCCCCAGGAGACTTGGCTGGCTGCTCTGGAATGCAGGGCACACAGCGCTGTGCTAGCATACAATCACACACTGGGACTTTCACAGTCGCATCTGTACCTTCGCACACTCACTCAGCACAGACACTTGCTCATACTAAATCACACTCTTACACATGTAACACTGAAACAAACATGCACACTCAGTTTCACACACTGATATACAAACTTGCATATGTACACATGCACACTCCTCAAAGACTGCACATTGCTGTCAGAGTGGCATCCTTCCACCTCACACTCTTACTGAGGAAAGGTCCATACATCATTCAGCTCTGCTTACTACCTTGGGTGCCACCCAACTAGCTTCCAGCTTTGGAAGTGACTTTACTCTTCTGGCATTCCCTGCAAAGACCAGGTTCCGGTTGTTAATGAAGGCAGGAACTAAAAGTCCCTTTCTTTGAAAGTGCTGGAGCCTGTAGTTGGAGGGTTCCTGGTTTCAATCACTGGTTGTGTGACTTTGGGCTACCTGCTTAACCTCTCTGTGCTGTAGTTTGCAGATCTATTATGTAGGGTGAGATAATGGCAGCTATCTCAGAGTTATTATGAGCATTTAATGAGTCGGTGGTGTAACACAGTGTGTGGCACATGGTAAGCAGTCGATATATTTTTGTTATTAGTATATTATTTTATTCCAATGCCTCCAAATAGGGAGGCCTTATTTTTGCCTGTGATTATGAAACCCAGGGTTATCTAGATGCTTTTCCAACTTCAGCTTATGTGGATGAGCAGCAACTTAGGGCTGAGAGAGCTCTGACACCCCTTTTTAATTGAGGTGTAATTGATATATAATATATATTGGTTGCAGGTGTACAACATAGTGATTCCATATTTACCCACATTACAAGATGCTCATCATAACAAAGTTATTACAATATTATTGACTATATTTCCTATCCTGTGCCTTTCATCCCCATAATATTTAGTCTATAACTGCAAGTTTGTAACTCTTAATCCCTTCACCTATTTTGCCCATCCCCCGACCCCCTTCCCTTGGCACTCTTCAGTTTGTTTTCTGCATTTATGAGTCTATTTCTGTTTTATTTGTTCACTTATTTTTTTAGATTCCACATACAAGTGAAATTTGGTATTTGTCTTTCTCTGTCTGACTTATTTCATAAGCATAATACCCTCTAGTTCCACCCATGTTGTTGCAAATGCAAGATTTCATTCTTTTATATGGGCAATATTCCATTATATATGTATTTGAGTGTGTGCATCACACATCTTGATTCATTTATCAATGAACACCTAGCTTGTTTTCGTATGTTGGCTATTGTAAATAATGCAGTGAACATAGGGGTGCAGATATCTTTTCAATTAGTGCTTTCATTTCCTTCAGATAGATAACCAGAAATGAAATTGTTGTATTATATAGTAGCTCTATCTTTTATTTCTTGAGGAACCTTCATATCATTCTCCATAGTGACTGCACCAATTTACATTATCATCAACAGTGCAGGAGGACCCTTTTTGCAACATCCTCTCCAACACTTGTTATTTCTTACCTTTTCAATACTAGCCAATGTGACAGATGTGCAGTGATAACCCATTGTGGCTTTGATTTGCATTTTCCTGATGATTAGTGATGTTGGGCATCTTTTTGTGTGTTTGTTGGCCATCTACGTCTTCTCTGGGAAAATGTCTAATCAGATCCTCCGTTTTTTTAATCGGAGTGTGTGTGTGTGTGTGTGTGTGTGTGTGTTGAGTTATATGAGTTCTTTATATATTTTGGCCCCTTTTTATATGAAAGCCTGAGCCTTAGCCATCCACTCTGAAGGAACCCATCCCTACTGGAGAAGAGGTTGGGGGCATGCCATAGAGCCCTGCTTGCCAGATCCAGACCTCCTCCCTTCTAGGATGGTTATTCAGTCATCCTTGTTGTGTGTCTTCAACTTGTCTCTGCCAAAAAACAGAAATGGGATGGGGGTAACTTTCTAGGCTCAGTGTTATCATCCCCAGAGGAATCCTGACTTTTCTGCCATACTGTTTTGTGGCCTGCATCGAATCTGGTTATAAACATAGTGTGATCCAGGGAGTTGAGTATCTGGGGGAGGCAGGAAGGCCACACAATCCCGTATCCGTTTGCATTCCTGCATTGTTTTCCCAGGCTAGAAACGCCTGGGCTGAAGCCTATGGACCCCTAGGTTCTGGCTTCTCTAAGGAGCGGCTTCCTAGTAGACCCTCATTCCTGTCTCGCCTTGTTCCCCTTCCCTCACTCCCACCAAGCTCCAAATTCCGTGGTTTTCTTTGAGTGCCAGTAGCTGGTGCCAGTATTCCTCCTGCGGTTGACTGCCCCCCCCCCACACACACACTGCACACATTCCCTCCTCCTCCTGAAAGCACCGAGGACAGACGGAGCAGTAAATTGGCTGGTGTCGAGGATCTGCAGCAGACAAGATGATTAAGAGGCCTACGCTGCAGCGCCCGGGGCAGGGAATGTCAACCCAAGTTGGAATCACGCAACAGGCCTTGGCATGAGTAAGCCTGGGAGCCAGGAGGGCGGGCAGCCCCAGCTCCCGGGTGGGCCAAGGCCCAACAGACTTGCCGGAGTCACCGAACGTGGCACCCGACGGCGGCAGGGTCTGGCCGGGCCAGGGCATTCCTTTCTCCGGGAAGCCTGCGAGGCAGAGGGCAGGAGGGTGCAGGGGCCAGAGGAAGGGGGCGTTTCCGCAGACAAGGAGAAGGGCAAAGAGAAGGGAAAGCAAGGATGAGCCCAGGTCCCAGAAACAAGGAAGTGGAGAGGGAGTAGGGGGCAGCGAGGGAGAAACGAAGCCTGACTTGGGTAGGCGGGGCCGGCTGCAGCCCCTCCGGGGCCGACGCGCTGGCACCCCTTTCTCACAGTCTGGTGGCCCGCCGGAGACACGGGGCCCTGTGATCAACCCTCCGCCTCTCAGACCCGCTCCCCCCGCACCTACGCGCGAATGAAAAAATGGAAATAGGAAGCAACGATCTCGGCTCCCTGCATTGGAAACCAGCGGCGCTCGCAACACACATAAATCTTCATTGTAATACCATTCCCGTTGCTCTCGTGAAATATCAGGCCAGAGACAGGACACGACAAGCGCTGGGAAGCAGGGGAGGGAAGCCGAAGAGTGAGGGTGCCTGGCCCGCTCCTCTCCACCCCTTGGCAGGGCTGCTCGGAACTTCCGCAGAGCTCTGGCACTGAGTTCCAATTCCTAAAGCAAGCAGCCCGGGCGGACCAATATCCCCTTCTCCTCCCATTCTTGTCCCCGCAGCTTGCGCTCTGCCGCCGGACACCCCGCCCAGTGTGCTCCGCTGGTAGTAGACAAACACCCCTTCCGCTGCCCAGAAATTCCCGCCGGCCGCCCGCCAGCCGCCCGCCGGCTCCCGGGCTGGGGGAGCGCAGAGAAGA